ATGGAGCTGGTTATAGTTTCTCTCTCCCTCTCTCTCTGGGGAATCATAAACTGTCCCTGGGGGAAAACAGCCAGTTGTGCCTTGTTCCTCCATGGCCTGTATCCTGGATCCATATTCCCCACTGGTGAGAATTTGTTGTTTTGTTGCTTGTTGCCTCTGCAACAGCACACTGACCTTTCCCCCTTTGTCTTGATTAGGAAATAAGTTCTCTTTTTCAGAGACTGTTGCTTTGAAAATCCAGGGGGAAGAGACAAATTAATTAGTGACTTTTAATAGACAGGTACTCATCAGTCCAGGAGTCCAGCACTGTCATTACTCAGGCTGATCACTGGTGATTTCCTAATTTTTTTTACAGCTGGCTTGGTCCCGAAGTCTCCTAGGGCATGTGACGTGTCACAGGAAGTTGTAGACAGGAGGGGGTGGGGCCAAAATTCCACCTTGCCTAGGAGAGAAGAGCGGACGCGGTAGCGGTAGCAGGTACCTCTCATCATTTTAGATGACGTTCCACTTTAGGACCTCCTAAAAGTTCAATGTCTTATCTGTCACACTATTTTGAGGCTAGACTGTGTTCAGTAGGAGAAACAATTAGCAATGGCTTCAGAGGTCAGGGAAATAAAAAAAATGCCCCTACATTGGTGGTAAGTCGGAGTACAAAATGACTCAGCTTTGGTGGTCAGTGGTTTCAGTGGTATAATAAAAGACTTCCCTCAAAAGCACTGGAGTTTAGTGGTAATTTCATTCCTTGAAGGCCCCATGTCTCATGGTGTTCCCTGAAATGTCACAATGGTACCATATGGAACGGTACGGACACCACAGGGCTGGAGATCACCACAGGGCTGGAGATCACCCCAGCCAGTACTGCCTGTAATAGTTTACTGGATGCTGATTAGTGAACCACTGGATTAATAAATTTAAGAAAGTAAAGTTTTACACAAATTAAAGACAAATATTTTACAACTATTTTTAGAACTACACTTTATTGTCAAATGTATTGAGACACCCCTCCAAATCATTGAAATCAGGTGTTCCGATCAGCTCCATGGCCACAGGAGCATAAAATCAAGCACCTAGGCATGCAGACTGCTTCTACAAACGTTAGTGAAAGAATGGGTTGCTCTCAGGAGCTCAGTGAATTCAAGCGTGGTACCGTGATAGGTTGCCACCTGTGCAATAAGTCCATCCATGAAATTTCCTTGCTACTAAATATTCCACAGTCAACTGTTAGTGGTATTATAACAAGGTGGAAGCAACTGGGAACAGTAACTCAGCTAAGACGTGGTAGGCCATGTAAAAAGACAAAGCAGGGTCAGTGCAATCTGAACTGCACAGTGAGCAAAAGTCGCCAACTGTCTGCAGAGTCAATGGCTAAAGACCTCCAACCTTCGTGTGGTGGCCTTCAAATTAGCAAAACAACAGTGCATAGAGAGCTTCATGGAATGGTTTTTCATGGCCGAGAAGCTGCATCCAAGCCTTATATCACCAAATGCAATGCAAAGCTTTGGATGCAGTGGTGTAAAGTATGCCGCCACTGGATTCTAGAGCAGTGGAGACGCATTCTCTAGAGTGATGAATCATGCTTCTCTGTCTGGCAATCTGATGGACCTGTCTGGGTTTGGCGGTTGCCAGGAGAATGGTACTTGCCTGACCGCATTGTGCCAAATGTAAAGTTTGGTGGAGGGGGGATTATGGTGTGGGGATGTCTTTCAGGGCTTGGGCTTGACCTCTTAGTTCCAGTGAAGGGAACTCTTAAGGCGTCGGCATACCAAGACATTATGGACAATTTCATGCTCCCAACTTTGTGGGAACAGTTTGGGGATGGTCCCTTCTTGTTCCAACATGACTGCGCACCAGTGCGTAAAGACATGGATGACCGAGTTTGGGGTGGATGAACTTGACCAGGCTACACAGAGTCCTGACCTCAACCCAATAGAACACCTTTGGGATGAATTAGAGCGGAGACCGCGAGCCAGGCCTTCTCGTTCGACATCAGTGCCTGACCTCACATATGCGCTTCTGGAAGAATGGTCAAACTTTCCCATAGACACACTCCTAAACCTTGTGGACAGCCTTCCCAGAAGAGTTGAAGCTGTTATAGCTGCAAAGGGTGGACCAACTCAAAATTGAACCCTACGGACAAAGACTGGGTTGCCATTAAAGTTTATGTGCGTGTAAAGGCAGGCGTCCCAATACTTTTGGCAATATAGTGTATAGCTCTGGTGAGTTCATTTAATCTCCTTTGGTGGTGGATTTTTCACAATTGGTTCAAGTCACTGAAGATATATATATATTTTTTTTGGACACTAATTTATGTTTGGACACTATAATTATTTATTTAAAACACTAATGTTTTTTGGATGATGATATACACCTTTGTATAAGTTTGTTATTAGCGCATACCTTTTTAATTAGGAATATAGTGTGTGTTCGAGATACTCTGGAATATAGAATATTATTTCCATTGACTGGTGATTAGTAGATGTTTATTGTTCTTCTGTTCTAAACACAGTTCATATATACTTTTGGGATGAATAAGATGACTATCATCCACTATCAGAATGTTAATTTCTCAAATATGTTTAATAGACCTGCTGATCAATGGCATTCACAACTTTCCTTGCTTGAATGAATTATCTGTCACACTGCCCAAGAATCCAGAGGTAATAGACCATCTGCCAAATGAATTTTCAAGACTCATCAAAATGAAAAAAATTGTGCTTGTTTTGCCCAACTGTGGAACTGAATCAACAAGATTTGGTAAGAAGCCAAATAACTTAATGTTATTTTTTATGTGGGGCAGTGTGTCTTTGGGATGAGCCCTAATAAATATTGGGAATATCATTGCTGTATATAATTAGAACTAAAGACAAAAAGTGGTGTCCTTCTGCTACATAAGTGCATGCCCAATGTATATAAACCTGAAGATTATGCTGCAGGTACTGTATACAGAGCCAGATTTCTCACTAGGCCACATAAGCCATAGACTAGAGCAACATGAGTTCCAGGAATGGCACTTATCTGCTATCTGCCCAGGTTACATTAGATTTATGTGGCTTCTGGTACTTCTATACTTACTAAAGCTCAAGGGCAGACTGACCATTTGGAAACTCAGGCACCGGGTCCGGGGTCAGTAGGGGGCCCCATGAGATGCCCCTGGTACCTTTTTCATAGCCTTTTTTGAGTTTGGGCAAGGACACAGGGGCCCCATGATCCCCTATTGCCCGGGGGCCCCATGTATTAGTCAGTCCACCCCTGCTAAAGCTGTACGGCAGGCTCATACCTGATGGCAGCCCACACAGAACTCACATCCCTCTTTAGCTGCTCCCACCCCCAGTCCACTCCTGGCATGATGTAAAGACAACATCATGGGGAGAAGGCTGCTGCTAGTTTCTGTGCAGAAGAAAAAATAAGTGTGTGACTGATGGTCACCCTAATACTAGTTTCTGAAAGTTGACATCTCTGTGAAATAAATTTGCCTGTATAATCAAGAGAAATAAACACAAATGACTGACACAACCAGTAATGTCTCTGTAGAGACACAGCCATAACAGTACTCACATATTGCGTCCACAGAGAAACAATCTGTAACACACAGAAACATGTCTGCAGCAATGCATTCAGTTTTGTACGGACACAACCAGGAAGATGTTTTGATCTACTGTCTCTTGACTTATATTTAAATTGGCATGGTCTTGCAGGAAAAAAACACAGAGGATAATTTAAAAAATGAAAGTAGAGGAATTGTAAAGGACTTGTCACAGCAACTATTTAAAACAATTTTTTTTAGTACAGCTAACAAATGTTAATCCACTGTGTGTTTGATTATTTCTGTATGTCTTTGTTGAACAGTGCACATGTCTTTTGTGTGTGTGTTGAAAGGAGCACAAAGTAGCTGGCCCAGGGAACAAAGTAGTGTAGATCTGGTCCTAACGATATATGTTAATCCTGTTTTACAGCCCAATTCATCCGTAGTTTTCCAGATTTGGAAGTTCTGTGCTTCAGTTTCACAAACCCTGTGGAACATAATGGCCTGATAGACTCACTTACAACTTGCAAGAAGCTCAAAGAATTGAATCTGGGTGAATCATTTCTACAGGACAGTGACATGTCTTCTCTGGGTATTTATTTCAACCTCATTTGCTGCTATGCATGATTACATGAGGGGCCAGTTTTGCCGCGACGCAACGCTAACACTTCAGTGTGAACAGTACTGTGTGCTGCCATGTGCAGAATTTTCATAGGCGTTTGAGAAGCGTTAAAAACGCTTCCCAAATGCCTGTCTGACGCCTGCTGACAAAGCTAGTGTGAACGTAGCCTTACACTCCAGGTCTTCTTCCAGCAATCCTCTGTGACTAATCTTTCCCAGCTACTGACATCACATCTGCAAAGTTTTAGAGTGTACCGCCCTTCTCTACAGCATGTGATACAGTAGGGAGGGGTTACTACTTTAAAATCAATGACACGTCATCATAAATAGTATCTTTACCCACAAATAAATACTTAAAATATATCAGCCTTACCAGTCTTTAGAAACTGCAATATATGTTTGTTCTTGATTTTAGTTATCCTTTAACACAGTAGCTACTTCCTCTTTCACTAAGAATTAGCTGCAAAGGAATTACAGTATATAGTAGTTTATAAAATAAATTGACAGATCAGTAGAAAGTAAAAGTACTTTCAGCAACAAACCATAGTAGCGCTACCCCGCAGAAGCCGCTAGAATATTTGGGTTCTCTGTTCGTCACTGAGCCCTGGACAGAGCACCACCCCTGTGGACACCACCAAGTTACCTTGGCCAGGTAGTCTCCTGGCTGTCACACAAAGAAAAATACGCACATACTTGTAAAAATAAATGATTATGTTGTATTAGGATCAAATAATTAGTATGTCGGGCAAAGAATACAGTTAATGGAAACTATCGATAGGTGAGGTAATACAGCATAGAAACAATGCAACACAGTACAGTACCCCTTTAAGAAATGCCCACCGGCTCGGTCATGTGATCAGCTGTGTCCAATCACAGCTGGTCACATGTAAACAGGGAAATGCCAGTTATCTGCATTTCTCTCCTCTCGAGCTGTCACGCTGACAGCTCGAGAGAAGAGGAGAGCTGGTAATTGGCATTCTGCAGAGGGGACAGGTACACTGATCATCAGGGCACTGATGATCAGTGTGCCCTGATGATCAGTGTGGCCCCAGAAGTGCCACCTGTCAGTGTCCATCAGTGCCAGCTGTCAGTGCTGAACAGTGCCACCTGTCAGTGCCCATGAGTGCCACATCAATGCCATATATCAGTGCTTACCAGTGCACATCAGTGCCCATCTGAGCTGCCTTTCAGTGTCACCCATCAGTGCCAGTCAGTGCCTCCTATTAATGCCTATCAGTGCTGCCAATCAGTGCCGCCTATCAGTGCCAGTCAGTGCCGCCTATCAGTGCCGTCTATCAGTGCCGTCTATCAGTGTGCATCAGTGCCGCCTATCGTGCCAGTTAGTGCCACCTAACAGTGCCAGTCTGTGCCGCCTATCAGTACCGTATATCAGTGCTGCCTTTCAGTGCCCATCAGTGATGCCTGTCAATTCCCATCAGTGCCACCTACCAGTGCTTCCTTATCAGTGCCCATCAGTGCCACCTATCAGTGTCCATCAGTGCATCTTATTAGTGGCCATCACTACAGCCTCATTAGCGCACATTAGTGAAGGAGAAAAAATCACTTATTTACAAAATTTTATAACAAAAACTAAGAAAAGACTTTTTTTTTTTTTCAAAATGTTCTGTGATTTTTGGTTTGTTTAAGAAAAAATAAAAAATCCAGAGGTGATTAAATACTACCAAAATAAAGTACTATCTGTCACAAAAAAATGATAAAAATTTCATATGGGTACAGTGTTGCATGACCGCGCAATTGTCATTCAAAGTGTGACAGCGCTGAGAGATGGAAATTGGCCTGGGCAGGAAGGGGGTATAAATGCCCTGTAGGCTAGTGGTTAAATGGAGAAATTGAACTTGAATGGCTAATTCCTTCCGTAGGCAGATTAAATTTAGGCTAAAGTAAACACAGGTTCTGCCTAGCAAGAGATAGTGGGGTTAACTCAGATAAGTCAGATAGGTAGTATTGGTAGAAGCAGGTAAGAATGGTAGGCTGCAATGGATGAGCTCTGGCATATGTGCTAGATACATATGCTTGGCAGACTGTAGCAATAGATGAGCTATGGAATCTTTGTCAATTGAGGAAGCCTGTACTGTTCAGTGTCTTTAAACTTGCAGTAACGTGAATAGCAGACACACTTGCAACAAGAGCAGTGTTAAATGGGTTAGGAACCCTCTCACCCAGTCCTTATGGCAAGGAAAGCTTAGCGATGAGCAGCCAAATGGGGGGCCCCTTTGCTCTTTGCAGATGTTGCGGCGATGATGATGACCTCCCGATCCGACAGCAAGCAGGTCTTCTCTAGTCTGCCTCCTCAGGTCACCCAGTTTTCTGATGGCACATGTGGCTTCCTGACCCAACCCCAACTGATCTCACGTGGCTCCACACAGCTTTCCTCCACACGTCTGTCCAGCAGCCAAGTCTCTCTGTCTCCATCTCATGTTCCCATCTTTTGTTTTTATTTGCTCCCACTCCCTGGCAGTTGCTTCCAGGCTATGTAGTTTGGTCTCAGTTGAACTGTAGGAGAAGTTCTGCTTCCAGCATACAAGTCCCAGTGACTTCTGCTCCCCTCTGTTGGAACTTGTGGTCAAAATAAAGATCTGCATTACAACAATGCACAGTGTTACACCACAGACAAGCAAACAACAATATATACTAAAAGCTGGGCCTTAATTAAACTGAACAAAATATACAGTTAAATATAAAAAAAGGATTAGAATTTTCTAGGTTTATTTTGTGTAGTCTAGTTTTGCATGGAGGTCTATTGTTGTTGGGGGGGGGGTCCATTGTTGCTGGGGGGTCAGTTGTTGCTGGGAGGGATCTCCTGTTGAGGGAGGAGTCTATTGTTGCTGGCTGCTGGGGGACCTATTGATGCTAGCTACTGGGAGATCTGTTGTTGCTGCTGGGGGGTCTATAATTACTGGGGTGGTATTTTGTTGTGGGGATCTGTTGTTGCTGGGTGGTCTATTTGTGGGGGATCAGTCGTTGCTGGCTGCAGGGGATCTACTGTATTTTACTGCTTTTCTTGTTACTAACACATTGCATACAAATTACTTAGCACCACAAAAGTATACTAGGTTCTGTACACTCTAAAAGGGGCAGTACTGGGAGGTGGGTAGGAGGTGGAACCAAGGGCTGGTGCTTGGAGATGGGTAGGGGGCGGAGACAAGGGGTGAGTGAAACGGTAGGGAGTTCCTGCACCTATTCTCTGAGAAAAAAGCCCTGGAAGATATATTTACTTTTTTTTTTTTTTTACATTTCTTCAGTTGCTTTCTAGTTTCTGGCTTAGGCAAAAATGATGTCATGCAACTCAGAAGTCTTCATGGTTATTTTGTTTTCTTTCATCTGAAGGAGGGGGAGAGGAGAGTTTTTACCTTTTTTGCCTTTCCTATTGATTCATGTTCACTTTCCACAATTCTCTCCCCTGCACCCATGCTATGCAGGGCCACTAATAAAGGGGCACCACCGGTCCTCCTGTCCTCCATACAGGGGGGCCTGAACAGCAGGAAAGTTACCCTGTGTGTCTCTCCCTGCAGTAACTTAAAGCCGGTTTCTCCCCCTCCCCTCCCACCAGCTTTCAGCTGCTGCATGGAGAGACGCACAGGACATTGTTCCTGTAATTTCCTCCCCCACCCCACCGGTCCCCTTCCTGTCTTGCCCACATCATATTCCTCCTGCTGCAACCAATGATTCCCGCTGCTCTCAGCCATGTCTGTGAGAGTAGGGTGAGGGGAGAAGGGCTGATGCAGACATGGACAGCACTAGACTAAGATCATACTCAGGTAAGTATTTAGGACAGGCTGCTGGGGGAGCTGCTATTTAAATGTTTTTTTTCCCTTAACCACTTGCCTACCAGGCACTTATACCCCCTTATTTACCAGGCCAATTTTCAGCTTTCAGCGCTGCCGCACTTTGATTGACAATTGCGCGGTCATGCAACATTGTACCCATATGAAATTTTGATCATTTTTTTCTCACAAATAGAGCTTTCTTTTGGTGGTATTTAATCGCCACTGGGCGCTTTACTTTTTGCGCTATAAATTAAAAAAGTGCAAAAAAATTTGAAAAAAAAAAAAAAAAAAGTTTCTTTGTTTCTATTATAAAATTTTTCAAACAGGTATTTTTTCTCCTTCACTGATGTGCGTTGATGAGGCAGCACTGATGGGCACTGATAGGCGGCACTGATGGGCACTGATAGGCAGCACTAAAGGGCACTGATAGGCAGTACTAATGAGGTGGCACGGATAGGCGGCACTGATAGACAGCACTAATGAGGTGTCACGGATAGGCGGCACTAATATGCAGCACTGATAGGCGGCACTGATAGGTGACACTGATGATGGTACTGATAGACGGCACTGACTGGCATCACTGCTGAGCACTGACTGGCGGCACTGACTGGCACAACCCCTGGGCACTGACTGGTGGCACTGACTGGCAGCACTGCTGGGCTGCACTGGTGGGTTGCACTGGTGGGCAGCACTGGTGGGTGGGCACAGGTGGGTGGCACTGGTGGGCACAGGTGGGTGGGCACAGGTGGGTGGCACTGCTGGGTACAGGTAGGTGGCACTTCTGGGCACAGGTGTGTGACACTGCAGAGTGGCACAGGTGGGTGCACTGCTGGGCACAGGTGAGTGATCTGCTGGGCACAGGTGGGCGGAGCTAGTGGGCGCACTGCTGGGCACAGGTGGGCGGAACATGCGGGTGGCATTGCTGGGCACCGATCATCAGGGCACTGATCATCAGTGCCCTGATGATCGGTGCCGAACCCCGCTCTGACAACTGACGGTTCTCGGCAGTACTTTCCTCACGATCTGACAGCGTGAGGAAAGTGCAGCCGAGAACCGGCACTTGCATTTCCCTGTGATCAGCGTGTCATTGGACACCGCTGATCACGTGGTAAAAGGCCGGTATGATTGGCCTTTTACCACATCACGTGATCAGCTGTGTCCGTAGGACACAGCGATCACGGAGATCGCCGGGTGCGCGCCCCCTGGGGCGCGCAGGAGAGCGCGTTCTGGGAGGACGTCATATGACGTCCACTCAGAACTGGCCGGCCGCAGTTTAGCCGTCATTCGGCTATCTGCGGTCGGCAACTAGTTAATGCAAAAAACAACTTTTACCTTTACAATTACTTTAAATATAATGAGTACCTCTAACCAGTAAACCTAAAAGCCAATATTCTTTAGCAAATCTGTAGCACTACCCCTTTAGGGGCTACTGGATTTGACTTGGGTCCCCCTATGCTCTGCATGGCCAAGTGACACGTATTTTAATACTTTGAAGTCAAAGAAGAGTCCTTGAGCTTGGTTTTGTGGTTTTTATTAAGGGGTTAAACTTGGATGGTGTCTAGGGGTATACAGAATGCCAGAAGAACTGTATAATTTGAGGACAACTCCTTAACAACTATGTAACGGAACTGGACCCCAACTGCACTAGGGTATTTCCGTTAGACTCCCGCTTCCCTGTCCGAACACAGATCCACGGACACCACTGCTGACCATACAAGACGAGACAGCACCAGACTTGTATTAGAACAGGAAATGGACTGCTTTATTTTAACACAGACACAAAATATATACACAGGGCGGGGCAATACATTTAGTAACAAGAGCCACACTCCAGCTTTCCTCAATCTATCTTTCACCCAACAATGCCCACCTCCCCTAGGCTCTGCCACATTTGAGGGTTGCCCAGGTCACCATGCCCAGCCTCCTGCCAGAGGATTGGCCAGAATTCCTCAAACATGCAGATCTGGGACTCCTCCCCTCCTTCACCTCTCTTCCAGAAAACTCCCAAGCTTCTGGAAAGGTGGGAGGGCTCCAGTAACCCTAGCCTGTTAGAGCCTCCCAGCCTGTCCTGAGGTAACCTCACTACCTCATTTCCCAGGCTGACTCATCCTCAGGCTGCTACTTTTATCTAAAAAAACTTCCTAACTAACCTGGAGGGCATTACAAATGTAAACCAGCATGGTGTGTTTCTTTGCATAGCCTTTGGGAAAACATGGTGTTCACATTGTACTGTCTCTGTTCTTTGCAGCTGCAGTAATGAAGAATTTAACATCCTTGGAAGTCTTATATTTGGACAAGCAAAAAATATCAGAAAAAGACACTGCTGATAACTTTGGTAAATGTCATTATGGTTTACAGTAATATTGTTGTCATTATTACTATTATTATTTTTTATTATTAATATCATTACCTGAACATAATTATTACCACACCTGTTGAGTGTCCCAGCTGAAGTAGTTGAAGGAGGGGTGCAGGATGCCTGACATCCACAGAAGGCTACAAAATGTTTACAGAGATTATACAATTGACAAGAGCAATGCCTCGTCATTAGTGACTCTTGTCAATGGTGTCCTCTCCTTAAACATTCTGTGGATTTCAGACAGCCTGCACCCCTCCTCCAAGAATCTAAAGATGATATGTTGCTTCTGCTTGGAGTCCATTAATTACCTGCAATGAAAAAGAAGAAAAGTTACTATAGAGCGGGGGTCAGCAACACAGTAGATCTTGGCCAGGTCTTGTCTGGTGGATCGCAATCTGGGCTTGCTGACCCACCATCCCAGAGCATCAAACAGAATGCAATGCAGAGGAACTACTTGTAAAAATGGAGCTGTAATAGGGAGCAAGAGCTGCATAAGCCAATGCCTCCCCTGTAGTGCCGGCTCCTGTCCCATGCGGAGTGATACCAACTGCACTCCATCTCCTATCCCGGATAGAGGTCTCCAGAGTGGTTCCAGCAGCAGGAAAGAAGAGATCCTCAGGTCAGTGTGAGGCAATACACTGGGCATAATAGTATAAGCCTGCTTTCACACTGTTGCGCTGTGGTTTACCCACACCGTGGGTGCAGTGCAGTGTACCTGCAGCTTTCCTGCAGGTTTGCTGTGCTTAGCCATAGACTTCTATTCTATCCTGCGAGTTTGGTGCACTTTCTAAAAATGCACCAAACTCCATAGAGTTGCGAGGTGATTGCCGAGTGGCCCCATGGCCCTATATAGGTCATGAGTGGCAGGAGGTAGCACCAACCAAAAGCAACAAGGGGTAAAGCTTTGGCTGCTGGCTGGCTGATTGGGAGTTTTACCCCCCCCCAAACTTTACATGTGAATGAGCCCCAAGGGTGCCACTGCCAAAAGGTGTTATTCACAAGGTGGGCAGGGAGCGATATGTTGCCTCCTCAGCACCTGATTTAAACCCACGACTACTGTGCAATGCATGTGATTATGACATGGTAGAGGTCTTATTCAGGTTTAACCATTTCAATACCGTGCAATTTTACACCTTCCTGACCAGGCCATTTTTCAGGTTTCAGCGCTCTCACAATTTGAATGACAATTGCGCGGTCATACAACACTGTACCCAAACTAAAATTTTACCATTTTCTTCACACAACTAGAGCTTTCTTTTGGTGGTATTTAATCACCGCTGGGGTTTTTATTTTTTGCTAAATTAACAAAAAAAGACCAAAAATTTTGAAAAAAAAACACATTTTTCTTTGTTTCTGTTATAAAAGTTTACAAATAAATAATTGTTCTTCATAAATTTAGGCCGAGATGTATTCTGCTACATGTCTTTGGTGAAAATAACCCAAATTAGGATGTATTATTTAGTTTGTAGGAAAGTTATAGAGTTCACAAACTATGGTATATATCTGAAAATTGATCAATCCTGAAGTACTGACAGCCAATCTAATTTCTTGAGGTCCAAGAATGTCAGAATAGTACAGATATCCCCAAATGACCCCTTTTTGCAAAGTAGACATTCCGACGTACTTCATAAGAGGCATGGCGAGTTTTTTGAAGTTGTATTTTTTTTGTCATAATTTTTCGGAAAATTTAAAAATTAAAAAAATTATTTTCACTATTTTTTTTTTTTTTTACATACTGTCACCAGTGCAGTACAGCGTCATCATATAACTGGCATGGCGGTAAACAGGGACACTGACTGGTGACAGTATGAAAAAAAAATTTTTTTTTTTTTTATTATTATTTTTAATTTTTTTTTTACATTTTTTTTTTTTTTTTTTTAAGATTTTTTTTTCATATTCTACTATGACCAAAGTAGTACAATGTTACCATAGTAACATTGTACTACTTTGGGGAAGTGATCAGTATTTTTTTTTTTTCTTTTACACAATTTGCTTATAGCAAAGAATTACTTTGCTATAAGCAAGCATTTACCTGAATGAAATCGATTCATTCAGCTTTTTTTTTTTTTCTTTTTTTTTTTGTGCTTAGCTGTGATTTGGTCACAGCTAATCACATGACATGTGCATGTGATTAGCTGTGACCATTCACAGCTAGGCACTAGTATACAATGGATGGCATGAATGAAGCCATCCATTGTATACAACTGTCATGCGACCTGCTGTGATTGGTCACAGCAGGTCACATGGTACCAGCAACGGGAGCCGGTACTCGGATCTGTCATCGGCCGTGTCTGAGGTACACGGCCGGTGACAGATCGCGCTGCTGCGCCGCTTTGCATTAGCGCAAATGGCGTGCACCCGGAATGCAGCAACACTTTTGAAGCCGCCAAACGGCCATTGGCCGGGCGGCTAATGGTTAAGGAGGCGACACTGTGCCTCTGTGATCTTTTACTTCTCCCACGTTGTTTAGGCAGACCTCTACCTCTTTAAGGTTGCCTATCCCTGCTATAGAGGAAGAGTTATCCTACCAACATGTGAAATTTGAACAGCCTATGTTAATAAAAAAGGTATGCCCACTTTGCATTTGTTTCAGTGCAGCTCTACTCTGCAGTGGGGTATCCAGCACATTAATGCACTCTGCACAGTAAGAGCAGCCAGCGGGGAAGTAAAGGAGCCACTGTGGTGTGGGAAATGTCTTCTCTCCGACCGCCACATTACTGCCAAGGTGCCATATGTGACATGCTTTATGTTCTGACATAATGATAAATACATCTTGTTCCGTGTCTTGACATTGCAGTGCTTGGAAAGAGATGTTTTTTTTAACTGCCCTGCCATGTTTAAACACAGAGAGGGGGACATATTTTACTCTAGTATGTTACATTTGATCTGTAATGAAGAGGGTTACCTTTGCTAGATCCCAAACTCTCCTGAACATAAATCTCTGAACATCAGTGCAGTTACAATGAAATTAAATATGTTGGCTATAAGACGGGGTGGGCATTCCTTTTTGAATAATGTTGTTTGAGAGCAAATTAGAAAGAGAGCGGGATTCATTAAGGTGTAGGTTCATGGGAGTGTTTACATTGCTTTTTGACCTTTTATTGTACAAGCTGCAGACCACTGAAAACTGAAAAATCGGGTTTGGGTAGCTATAATCAGTGGATTTGCCTGGAAAAATGGCAACTGGAATTTGACTGGTAACTGTATGTTGTACTGCTGATTAAAGAAAACCTTGCCTAAAAGAAATGGGGACTGTTCTTCCTTACCTCCTTCTAATAATGTTAGCTGCCTGACTGTTACACACATCCATTTCTGCCTCATTGAACAATACAAGTGTACATATCAGGAAAATTAGAGTAAAGTCAGTTCTTATATACACACACTTGCTTGAGGTTAGTGCTACAAAATATTAAAACATATGGATCATCCTTAAAGTCAGGCAACTAGCATTTGCTGAATGAGAAGCAATGGCAGCCTTCATATCTCTCAGCAAAGATTTCCTTTAACTAATAAGACCAAGAATAAATGATTTTGAGATAGCATGGTTAGAAATACTGTAAGATACAAAACAATATAAATAACCATGATTTCATCATAGCTGTAGCATTGGGCTCCCTCATTCATCTGAAAAAGCTGTATTTGCCAGTGGGCACCGGAATGACTCATGCTGCTAAATGCATTATTGAACAGTTCCAGAACCTTGGTAACCTCCAGTTGCTTGCCATGAAGGAGATTCTTGATGATGAATCTGTTGCACTTTTAGGTGAGTACTTCATGGGTATGTGCTAGTTAGGGTCTTCAGGATTGGCCCTGTGTGGTCATCCTTCTTCTTGTTCAAAGAGACCCTGTCAGGTTTCTACAACATTAAAGATGGCAGACCTCTGTAGTAGGAGACAGAGTATAGTTACCCCTCCAATGGCCTGTTTCTCCTCTCTCTGCTCCATTCCAGCCTGCAGCCTAGGAAAGCCTTTTCAACATCAACATTTCCAAGACTGTTGAATGCCTGTACTCTGCTGTATGTCGGTTACTGCCTCTAAACTTCCTCTAATATCACTCAGCAGTACTATATGGATCGAAAGAAGGAACCAGCACATGGCAGGGAATACAGGCATCTAACGTTCCCTGGAAGTATTGAATACCAGAAGAGGCTTTCTGTGGCTGCAGTGCTGTAGGTTGGAGACATGGGCCACTGGATAGGTGAGTATACACTGTTTTGTTCCCACAGGTGTGTGCCGGTTTGAAAACTTTCGATACCTGGCAGGGTCTCTTTAAAGTATATTTTTGGTCAGAATTTAAAATCATATATTCATTTCCACATTGAATTTTATTTGTTATCTAGCCTACTCCTATTAATCTGAATGATTCGGAAGTTTGTTAGAGTGCTGTAAATTATCCCAAACATTTACTTGTGTAACATATTTAATTTGTCCTGTGACTGTGCACTAGTATGTCATACATTTCACAGGGGAACCCAGAGCAATCAATCAGAATTCATAGTTACATACTGTAATTAGTCTGGCTGAAAAAAAGACAAAAGTCCATCTAGTTCAACCATTAAAAAAAAAAGTTATAATCCTATACCCGCAGTTGATCCAGAGGAAGGCAAAAAAACCCAGCAAAGCATGATCCAATTTGCTTCATCAGGGTAAAAAAAAATCCTTCCTGATCCCCCGAGAGGCAATCAGAATTCAGTTTGCAGAAATCAGAACAAGTTTATTGCACTTAAAGTGGAGAGAAAATAAAAAAGCAGATTCCCTATTGTGATAGGGAACACTTAAAAGTATTAATTGTGTCTAAGCAATACCCTAAAATATGTACCTTTTTCTGGAATTTCTCCTAAAAATAACAATGCGTTGTGCTGGAAAGAGTAGGTTCACATTAAGCTTAAAACTGTGGCATTGAATAAGGTTAATAATGTTCTATATATTACTGATTTGAAGGCCTTAGGAAGCAGTGAAACCACAGGAAAATGGTTGTATATATGTTATAGACTACCCTAGGTTTTAGGGCAACCAGGGTGCTTTGATGATAAGTAATGCATGTATGGTCCCTTCAAAGAGCTTTTAGGTAAATACTGTTAAGAACAGTCTATTTTAAGATAATAAAATCTTTAGATCATTATAGGTTCTTAGTGTTAACATTTTTTCTATGAATATATTAATATCTTCAAAGCTGATGCTACAAGAAACGGTTATCTGAAAAAGCTTCAAAAACTTGAACTCCAAGTCAACTCCAACATCACTGAATCTGGGTGGAGAACATTTTTTGAGAGATCAGATCACATGCCAGAGCTCGGTAACCTGAATATAACTCGGATGTACACACAGCAGATCAAGTCCCACGCTACCACTGTCACTTCCTTTGTGCGATTTGTGTCCAGACTACCACGCCTGGTGACCATACAAATGTTTGGCTGGCTGCTCGATAAAGATGATTTAAATATGTTTAACACAATGAAAAAGAGTCACCCTCAAGGTAAACGTTTAAACCTTGTGTGGCAGTGGGTGTTGCCATTTTCACCCATCATTGAGAATTAGAATATTAAATACTGTATATAGACATCCTAAAATGCTTGAAGCAGGGGCGGACTGACCATTCGAGCACTCGGGCACTGCCCGAGGGCCCAGGGTCAGTAGGGGGCCCCATTAAATGTCCCTGGTACCTTTTGTATAGGCTTTTTTGAGTTTGGCAAGGACACAGGGGCCCCATGATCCCCAATTTACCCGGGGGCCCCATGAGTTGTCAGTCCGCCCCTGGCTTGAAGGCAGACAAAGTAAACCCATTACAGATATATAGACTATTTAAAAAAAAGGATGCTATGAAAACATGCATTATCAGAGGTTACCTTCTGCGAAAAATGCATGTATAAATGATCAGGAGATCCAGAAGTTATATGCAAACCTGGACTTTCCTGAAAAACTTAAACCTGCCCCATTCTCATTTTTATTTTAGTCAGTCTCAATATTGCAGCAGTATCCACTATTCTTACCAATAACGAGGGCCCATACACATTTTGCATTGCTGTAACATGTAGCAGAATGTGTGTTCCCCCTTGCAAAGTGCATTTAATCTAGAGAGAGCAAAAATAGCAGCTATACTTATACCTTATACCTCATTTTTCCTGCAATCAATGCTCTTCTCTTGAATCTGGGTTTTGGGTGCGTTCTTGGCATCCTTGCTTACAATGCAAGACTGATAGTCCTACATTGTATGTAATGATGTCAGAGTGCCTGTGACCAGTGACATGGCTTAGAGAAGTGGCTTTTTTGGGACCAGTTGTGAAACCTGTGGTTGGTAAATATAACTGTTTTCTTTGTTCCCCCTAGACAAAAATGAGCATATTACCCTTGCAGTGAACCAAGGAGCTCCTCTGCATAGGTCCAGAGTTCACTTCTTACATATTCAGTATGCAACAGGGGCGGACTGACAACTCATGGGGCCCCCGGGCAATAGGGGAACATGGGGCCCCTGTGTCCTTGCCCAAACTCAAAAAAGCCTATGAAAAAGGTACCAGGAGCATCTCATGGGTCCCCCTATTGACCCCGGGCCCTCGGGCAGAGCCCGAGTTTCCAAATGGTCAGTCCACCCCTGGTATGCAACACTATTTACTTATCTAATGTGCTATACAATTGTTTTGGCACTCTAGTACCCAATCCATCCTCTCCATAGTTGATAATTGATTATGCTTTTGTGACCCACTCTATCCTTCCTCTCCTTCAGACGGTGTTTTTTTTCTGCCCAGGCTGCACTCTGATCACTCCCCTTTCTTTCTTTCACTACAGTAAAGACTTAATCCTCCTTTTAAAATTTTAGAAATGTAACTCCTTCTGATTCTTGTAATTTCTGGATGGCACTGATCTGCCTTTTTTGTGTTGAATGCTGATGAAGACAATATAATTAGTACTTAAAAAATAAAAAAAATGCTGTCAGCATTTATGTACATATGAGCCATGCATGTGCAGGTCAGCGAACATTTATGGCAATGCTGTGCCATGTTGATGTGACAATCCAGTGCATGTGTGGGTGTGACATCATTGAGACCGAAGAGTCGGAACCTGGACGGAAGACTGGGAAGACATGGCAGTGCCTATGACAGCCTAGAATGCTAGATCCGCAGCACTGGGGGGGATGGCTTGACAGGTTAAGCCTGTCCTAACGTGTTAATATAGTGTGCATACTAGAACATTATGACCTAAAGCTCTTAGGGTCCATTCTATTGAATGTCCTAGAACAGTATCTGTTTGTTTCTGTAATTTGTGTAAAATGGATTTGACAACCCTCTGTCACCAATTCTTGTTTATTGGTCTTAATGGTGGAGGGACCCTTTCAGCTTTCTAGCTTGAACTTCAGATAGAATGACCTGATGTATGAGGTATAATGAGGGACCACCAGGTTCGAACTGAGATGTAGAAACTGCAAGAGATGATTGGTAAATTTGCCTTGACTCACTGAGAAGCCATTATAGTTGGCTGGAGTCCTCAGCTTAAATTACTGAGAGGCGTATGCAGAAATAGATTATCAAACTCTCTTCAAGAAATCACCATCAGCTACACCGTGTTGTAATGGCAGCCGCGAGTGAAGCTGACTATTCAAGATGGTTGCCATCTTTTTCATGAAGTAATGGTGGCTGGAAGTTAAACTGACAGCTTTGTTGATTGTTAAAGATGGCTGCCATCTTCTCCATGAAGTAGTGGTGATTGCGGATGAAAGCTGACAGTTTCTCTAAAAATATTGGTGATTGTTGAAGATGGCTTCCACACTTTCTCTTAAGGTAATGGTGGCTGAGGGGGAGACTGACAGCTTCTTCACTCAGGTCTTGTCACTTTCCTGAGGTCCCCGATGCTCCTATATTAATGAGTATCAGATTGCCAGTCCCAGCCACTCCTCGGCAGATGCGTCCATTGTGCTGCAGGACAGGAAAATCCACCAGGCTTGGTGCTCAGATTTTTGCCTTCATCTTCTTTGTTCTGACCACTAACACCTAGAACTTTCTTATGGTGTTCCTCCTCATTGCTTTGTCCTTCTATCTCAGCTACAAAGCCTTTTGGGAGTTGTAATTTCTTTTCCACAGAGATGTCATGTGATTCCATGTACCAAAACTAGATTTCCCATCATCCTTTGTTTGGCATCATATCCTTCTTGCTAATCAATGATAACCAATGGGAGGCGATATTACCCACACTGGGACTTGTTGTCCCAATAACCACCTTACAAAGGCTATTTTGACCTTGTTTCTTTAAAGAGGGTACTTTATGCTAGCACTTGGCTATAGATCTATTAATTGCTCGTTTAGTCTAGGGTAGAAGAGACGCTACTTAACTGATCCTCCTCTCCCCTTGCAGATGGCACTGCCCTATGCTTTGGCGATGGAATGTCATGACATCCAATGAAGGGCTATGGACCCTGCATTGGTCTCGATAATGTCAGGACCTTAGAATGCTGGAGCATAGGGGAGAAGATGCTGCAAAGACTGGAAGTAGCAGTGTGCATAAACGTCATCTACAGTGGGGATCGAAAGTTTGGGCACCCCAGCTAAAAATTTGTATTAAAGTGCATAAAGAAGCCAAGGAAAGATGGCAAAATCTCCAAAAGGCATCAAATTACAGATTAGACATTCTTATAATATGTCAACAAAAGTTAGATTTTATTTCCATCATTTACACTTTCAAAATAACAGAAAACAAAAAAATGGCGTCTGCAAAAGTTTGGGCACCCTGCAGAGTTAATATCTTGTACTGCCCCCTTTGGCAAGTATCACAGCTTGTAAACGCTTTTTGTAGCCAGCCAAGAGTCTTTCAATTCTTGTTTGAGGTATCTTTGCCCATTCTTCCGTACAAAAGTCTTCCAGTTCTTTGAGATTTCTGGGCTGTCTGTCACGCACTGCTCTTTTAAGGTCTATCCATAGATTTTCAACTATGTTGAGGTCAGGAGATTGTGAAGGCCATGGCAAAACCTTCAGTTTAGGCCTCTTGATGTAATCCCCCCGTAGATTTCGAGGTGTGTTTAGGATCATTATCCATTTGTAGAAGCCATCCTCTCTTTAACTTCAGCTTTTTCACAGATGGCATCAAGTTACCATCCAAAATTTGCTGAAATTTTATTGAATGCATTTTTCCTTCTACTCGTGAGATGTTCCCTGTGCCACTGGCTGCAACACAACCGCAAAGCATGATTGATCCAACCCCATGCTTAGCAGTTGGACAGAGGTTCTTTTCATTAAATTCTGTGCCCCTTCTTCTCCAAACGTACCTTTGCTCATTCTGACCAAAAAGTTCAATTTTAACCTCATCGGTCCACAGAACTTGTTTCCAAAATGCATCAGGCTTGTCTATATGTTCATTTGCAAAGTTCAAACGATGATTTTTGTGGTGAGGACGTAGAAGAGGTTTTCTTCTGATGACTCTTCCATGAAGACCATATTTGTACAAGTATCTCTTTATAGTGGAATAGTGTACCACAACTCCAGTGTCTGCCAGATCTTTCTGGAGGGATCGTGCAGTCAAACGTGGGTTTTGAATTGTTTTTCTCACAATCCTGCGAGCTGTTCTGTCTGATATTTTTCTTGGTCTTCCAGATCTTGCTTTAACTTCCACTGTTCCTGATGACTGCCGTTTCTTAATTACATTCCGAACAGAGGATATTGACATCTGAAAACGCTTTGCTATCTTCTTATAGCCTTCTCCAGCTTTGTGAGCGTCAACTATTTTCAGTTTCAGTTTTCTAGACAACTGCTTAGAAGAACCCATGGTGCTGATTGTTGGGGCAAGGTCAGATGAGTCTGGGCATTTAAAACCTTTGAGACTGACATCACCTGGTCTTCCCAGACGATGACTGAGAACAATCCATGATACTGGCAGGTCTCAGCTTTGCAAAGGGGGCAGTGCATGCTATAAATTCTGCAGGGTGCCCAAACTTTTGCACACGCCATTTTTTTGTTTTCTGTTATTTTGAAAGTGTAAATGATGGAAATAAAATCTAACTTTTGTTGACTTATTATAAGAATGTCTAATCTGTAATTTGATGCCTTTTGGAGATTTTGCCATCTTTCCTTGGCTTCTTTATGCACATTAATACAAATTGTTAGCTGGGGTGCCCAAACTTTCGATCCCCACTGTATGACTGCATGGGCTGTCCAATCTCCCTCGACCCAAAGGTATGCCTATTGGGCATTACCAGTGAACACTTCACTGAACATTACATGATTATTGCAATCCTAACCCTCTCATACAGTATTGTAATTGTACTGTCTCCCTTTATATTGTAAAGCACTGTGTAAATTGTTGTTGCTATATAAATGCTGTCTAATAACAATCTCAGAACTGTTATTTATGAGTCATCAGTCTGTATCAAAGTGCGGGTTTGCAAACTCTCTCCTAGCAATCGAGAAATGAATGGCTTTCCCTTGTTGACAATTCTTCTTCCTATAGAGGATGCCTCATGAAATCTGCTAATGTCTGGTCCTTCTGGACACATGATAGCTCTGAAATCTCTGCTATTTAATCATTTTGGTAGGTTGCTTTCCTTTGCTCCCTTC